GGCGGTGACTTGATTCTGCTTGTCTTCTGATCAGATGCTCCTGCCAGCTTTTGTGTTCATTGGGCTGGAGGAAGATGACTGCTGCGGCTGTGAAAACTATGGCAAGCGATGCACAGTAAGTCTGTGTGTGTGTGTGTGTGTGTGTGTGTGTGTGTGTGTGTGTGTGTGCTGTATGCTGGTGGGAGTGCTTCTTTCCTGACACAGGACTCTGCTTTACTTCTTGCTTTTTCTTTCCATAGATGCTTTCGTCTGTACTGGCTGCTCTCATTGGAATTGCGGGATCTGGCTACTGTGTCATTGTGGCAGCGCTGGGTTTGGCAGAAGGACCAAAGTGTAGTGATTCCCAGGGTGTGTGGAACTACACCTTTGCCAGCACTGAGGGACAGTACGTAATTGTTCTTTTCCTAGCAACACATCCTTAGCCACCGCACCTAAAACTAAGTCATCTCTCTAGTCATCCACCCGGTATTTCCTTACTCCAAATCACGCAGTATGTAAGAACGGAAGGTAATCATCAGCCTGGGAAAGTTCTAACTACTCTTGAATATAGTCACTGATTTTGTTTCTCACGATGGGCCTACATGGATACTCCCATAATCGTTTCTCCTTTACAATTGAGAAAAAGAGGCAGGAAAAGGTGAAGTGACTCATCCAACATCTCGTTGCTAGAAAGCGTTAGCGAATCTCTGAATCCAGGCTGTGTGTCTCACAGAGTTTAAGATCTGCTAGTGTGTGCTTTAAAATTGATGTGCAGATCAAATGCAACACACATTACTTGTTTACAAGGAAGAATTATAGTACCCTTATATATTCAAAATCCATAACAAATAAAAATGCCCCCAACCTATTTCTGTGCATTTTGGCTCAGGTGTAACACGCCCTTGATTTAAGTTACCAGAAAACACAGGAAAAGTCTTATCCATTCTTATCACTGTTTTGTGTTGGTAGTTTCTCTCTTTTTTTTTTTTTTTTAAAATCAGTTATGACAAAGAAACAGAATCAGAAAAGCTGGTGGGAACTTGTATATGGGTAATGAATAAGTTTTGTCTTGGTTATTAGGGCTGGAGTGGTGGTGGTATGTCTTGTTTTAATCAAGTTGAATCTCTTATTGACTCACTCAGTTAGATGTCTGGTTTCAAGCCGGGGAAGTAAGAAGTGATAGGAATTGTACCGCCAGGCCTCTTTGTGGGGTTAAGCCACCCTTCGATGTTCCCACACGATTGAGTCCTACTTCACGGAGACTCCAAATACCCTGTGGGGTAGCAAGTACTGACATTCTAGAAAAGTAATCCAATGCATCTCTCTCCCTCCCCCCCCCTCTCTCTCTAAATCTACATCTATATCTATACACACACATATATGAAGAACATCGACATACTTACAAAATTTCTCATTTTGTGTAATTTGAAGTCACATATAATCATGGCATGGCCTGATGGTTTCCAACAAGGACAGTTCACACTGTCATTTAGCATTCTGTGCTTTTTAACATGCACCATGTTCCGGATACTGTGCTGCTGCCTGTTTAAGAATAGGCCCTGCCTCCATGGCGCTGAGCCCTGCTGAGTGGGTGTATAACAGGCCTTCTCTCTGGAAGATGGTTTTTGTTGGTAGCCTTTCTCTCTGCTTCCCTAATCGGCATACTCAGCATTGATGCCCTCCATTCTTGCTCTTCTGTTAGAGACCATGTTCTTGAAGGATAGGACCAGCTCCAGCTCATATTTGAACTCACACAGCAGCTCAGTAATTTTAGCCAAACAACTGAATGAAAGGTGTTCTTCATTGCTTCAGAGCTGTGAGCTTAGCACCACTAAAGAGGCTGACCTTAAATCCTTGTACTTTCTATTACAAATTAGCTTTTTGCTTAGAAATTTTTTTTAAATGTCAACAATTTCATTTGAAAATAAAAGCCTCTTGAGTTCTAACTTGGGAGAATTTGGATAATTTTCAAAGATGAAGGTATTTGGTATCTTGATAAAGTGATCTAAATTAATATCTTAAAATTTAACACAAGGTAAAATATTTTTTAAATAAATATTTGCTCAATATTGTTCTCAGACAATAATTAAGCAATGACAAAACTGGGTAACAGAACAGGAATATTCTTTATAAATTTACTACCCTCCAACATGAATTGTTCTCATTTTTCTATATCTGCTTTTAGTTTACATCCATATGATGCATGACTTGGTTTTAAACATGATGCAAATATACCTTTGTCTCTTTGTTTTCACAAGAAGTTGTATGTCTTTTAAAGAATGTAAAAATCTCTAATGTGAGACATTTTAACCACCAGATTTTAGATTAGTGTCAAAATTTTGTTTCAGTTTTATATCAATCACTGCAATAATACTTGGCTAAAGCTCCCCGTTTGTCAGAATAGCATGTTGTACAAGAATGTAGCACACAATATTGTGGTCATTCATTTCTGTGTTTCTGGGTAAACACTTCTAAAGGAAATAAGTAAGTTATGAGATGTCTTAAACTATGACCATGTGACTGAATTTCTCTTTTATCCACAGGTACCTTCTGGATTCCTCTACATGGTCCAAGTGCTATGAGCCCAAGCATATTGTGGAGTGGAATGTAACACTGTTTTCTATCCTCTTGGTCCTGGGTGGAACTGAATTCATCTTGTGTCTCACTCAAGTAATAAATGGAGTGCTTGGAGGCATATGTGGCTACTGCTGCTCTCACCAACAGGTGAGAACCTATGTGACCAGCACTTTGTCTTTGTGGATAGGCATTTCTTACCTTCAGTTTGGGCTTCAGTACTGAGTTTCCCAGACTGAATCTTGGTTTGTAGCTGGCTCTGTGGGCACAGGAACACTTGCCTGTAGACACAGTACCTCTTTGACATCAAATTCCCTGTATATTTCACTTATCGCTATGAGTGTCCAGGATGCTTGCCTTCATGTTCCTAAGTACACATGAATAGTAACCAACATTGACTCCATTGGATGTAATGCTAAACTCTTCACTGACATGCCTGACTCAAGCATCAAACAAGATGGTTCAGATCACTTAGTCAGGAGATAACAAATTTAAATTCTTTACTTATTTTATGCCCAAGCCCTTCCTCTTAATCTATCTGCTCTACTCCCATCCTGTTGGAATCTCTGTAATTCTTTCCTAATAAGGAGTAACAAAAAAGCCTTACTCTTATGCAGTAAGCATAGAGTGCAGTGATTAGTCTTTGAAAATCCCCCTGAAAGAAACTTTCTATGTGAAAGAAAACCAGGAAACTCTTATTTCCTGTGGATATGACTTAGGAGTGAAATATTCACTTGTTTGTAACAGAGAAAGTTATTTTTAATATTATCTTTTGGTTTTATGAAAGCTATTCTTCCCAAAAACATATATTATTGAACAGATGGGAAGTTAAAACCTGGCCCATTTTGGGAAGTTTGTGGTTTTATGATATATCTAGCTCTACCTATCAGACAAGTTCACAAGATTAAGAATTTCTTTGAGATCCTGCCAAATTTCCAAGAAAACAGCCATATGAGAAAATTTCAGCATGGCTTTTTTTTTTTTTTTTTTTTTTTTTTTTGTGCAACTGAGGGGAAGGAGGACAGAATAGAATCTTTGAGACTGATTCCTAAATGTAAACCCAAGCTCACCCTTGACAGTCATATGAAGCAGAGAATAAACTTAGCTGCTGCTGGACTTTGCTTTTAGGGCACAAGCCCAAGGGGTCAGTGACAAAATTGGCTCTGTATTTTGGGAGGAGAGATAACTTTCTGAGTTAGAGGCAATCACATGAACTGTCATCGGAGTCACTGTAGAAAGAGCTCCTCCCTAACATTTAGAAAGATCTATTACCTTTGTGTACAAGACAAACGATACCCTCAGAGGACAGGGTGTTTAGTGCAGGAGAGTTGACTCCTAACTTGGTAGCATTTGATTTGAAAGGTTTCCCACAGTAAACCCACACCAGTGGGAAATTCCCATGACATTATTTTAAGTTATTCCTCCAGAGTAGGGCCCTATACAGACACAACAAGCTAATTCTGTGTCAGTGTCCCGAAGTTTCCATGAGCACTTTCTATAACTTTTCCTGGCCAAGACAGTGGGTCTGTCTTGTTTAGGAAACATTTTTGTGAGCCTTGTCTGATCTGTAATCCATGTGGTTGGCTAGGTTTGATAAAAATCGATGTCATTCTATGTTATGTTTGCTTTGAATGGGAATGTAAGGTGCACAAATGTCATTGTATATTGACACGGATAATAACCTAATGCAAATTTCATTTTCTTTACAGAGATATGACTGCTAAATGAACACAAGACAGGACCACACGCTTCCTTTATTTCCCTGTAATTTGTATATTTTTCTTGTGTTACAAAACTTTGCACTGTTGTATCATAGTCCACACATTCTGCTTTTATAAAGAAATGTGCTGACAGTCATATGACGTCAGTGTTTACATTTATAAAGAAAACTTTGTTTTAAAGAATGAAGCAGCAAACTGCACTCATTCTGAAGGTGTTTTACAGACTGAATGACTGTTCTCAGAGTAGCTGAAATGAACTCTTCAATGTTTAAGATAAAAATCACATCAACTACTGTGCATATGTGTGTCTTTTTTAAATAAACGATCTCCAATTTCCATTTTATGACCAAGAAGGACCAAACCCTCCCCCCCCAAAGATGTATTTTACTGTTTATTTGATGTTTCCCATTTGTAGGTATACAAATCTCTAGGAGGACCCTGAAGCAAGAGAAAAGCACTTGCCTGGATTTGGAAATCTCATTGAGAAAATGTGAACCCAAGTATATAAAGGGAAATATGTAAAGCTGCCAGTAGCTGTGAACACTACTAGATGCTCAAGTGTTCTACCACGTAGAAAGCTTTTTGCCCTTCAGAGACTAAGATTGTGTATGTAAAGAGTAAGGTCAGGATGGTTGGATGAGAAGAAAAATGAGTTGATTGCCATGGTGGGAAAGTGGCAGAGGTAGGGCAGGGGCAGGCTGCCCACAGGGGAATGTTTCCCAAACTTGCTTGTTGAGCATACAATGAAGTATTCTCTACCATTCAGCTGTGGTTTGGGTTTTACATCTGAAATGCCACCCTCTTCAGTCAGGTAATTTATGGGAGTCTGGTAGAGAGGACCTCTTCCTAACCCTTAGAAAGATCTATTACCTTTTGTGGAAGACAAAGCCTGCATTTTCAGAGCACAGGCCTTTAGCTCCGGGGAGCTGGTTAATAGGATTTGGCTTTAAAGATTACCCACAGTGAATACACCCCAGTAGAACATGTCAGTGGCATTGTCCACAGCTCCTGATTTTCCCTCCCTGTCTGTGCTCTACAGGTTGGGTGGCATCTATGCCACAGGCTTGCTTTCTTCTGGGTCCTCTCTCCTGCTTCCCCTGCCTTATCCCCTCTTCTACTTTTTTTTTCTATCAACAGATTAACCATGGCTATGCTATCCCTTGAGGCTATCAAGCCAGCTAGTTAGTTTTCTTTTCTGCTGAGTGCTCCAATCATCAAACTCCTAGGTAAGGTTGAATGACTTTCTCTTTTAGTGCATGAGTAACTTTTTTTTTTTTTTTTTTTTTTGGTTTGGTTTCATCTTGTTCTGGTTTTGTTTTGATATAGAAGACCCCTTTAGCTCACTGTTTGGCAGAAGCTTAGAGGAAGACAAAACTATTTATTTGTTCACGATTTCAGAGATTTCAGTGTGGGGTCATGAGCTTCACTGGTCATGGGCCTGTGGTAAAGCAGAACACCGTAGCGGTAGGAGGACACTGACTACTTCATGGTAGATAGGCTAAGGAAGGGACTGGGGACCAGATAGAACCCTCAAATGCACATTCTCCAACACCCTACTTTGTCCAATGAGAACCTATTTCCAAAGTTTCCACTATTTCCTAAAACCATCCAGGGATCAACAGTTGGACACATTCAGATCATAACTGGGGTCTAATACAGAGGGCTTGTCTTGGCTGCCCATTGTCCTGGGCAACAGACAGAGAGTGAATAAAGAGTTTTACTTGCTGACAGGTATACTCCTTTGGGCAAGGTGCCTGCTGTGGTGCCTGACCCAAAGTTCTAAAATCCTTGTGCTACGATCACTCTGGCAGTCTTACGAAACCTGAACACTTTTTCTCATAATACCTATAAGCACATAAAATAAAATATGCCGACATAAGAAGTAAATCAATATATTGGAATACTTTACCAAAGAAATTTAGAATGGGGCTACAGAGATGGTTCAGTGGTTAAGAGCACTGATTGCTATTCCAGAGGTCCTAGTTTTGAGTCCCAGCTCCCACATTGCAGCTCCACTTCAGTTCCAGTGGATCTGACACCCATTTCTTGCTCCACAGGTGTGGCCCACATGGGGTACACAGACATACATGGAAGCAAAACATTCATTCACATAAATGAAAGCTTTTAAAATTATAAATTAAAATTATATGGTAATTGTCTTGGTATCCTACTTTGTCGCTTCACAGAGGGGTATATGTTCTAGCCACAGTCTAATAAGTAATTTACTGTACTGTTGAAACAAGATACAATACTGAGAATTTTGAGGTACCAAAAGCAATTCAGAGTGATATGAAAACATATACAACTGCTCTAGATAAAAATGTGATGTTAGTTTCAATATTACTTTGGTTTATTGCATGTAGTTATAATGAAAGGAAATATAGTCAACAATTTTGGTTAAAGGTTGGTACAAAGTATTGTTACTATTGCTGTTCCACTGAAGTTTGTTCTCGTCCCCCAAATATCTACCCATGGGCCTATCAATAACTCTTGGGCACTGGAGTTAAAGTGCCTGCCCCAACCTGAGACCCACTCCATGAGAGAGAACCAACCCATGACACTATTGATGACTCTCTATTGTGTTTGCAGACGGGAGCCTTTCATGGCTGTCCTCTGAGAGGCTTTGCCCAGCAATGGAACGAAACAGAAACCAAGATTCAAAGCCAAAAACTGGACGGAGAATTGGGAGCTTTATAGAAGAGTTTGGGGGCGGGGTAGAGGAAAGAGGATAGAATGACCCGGACCAGACAGGAGCCCCGCAAGAAGATCAGCAGACCCAGCTAACCTGGGGGCCCAGAGGGGCTTGAGGAGACTGAAGCACCAACCAAGGACCGGGCATGGACTAGACCTAGGCTCTCTACACACATATACCCAATGGGCAGCTTAGCCTTTGCGTGGGTCCACAGAAAGAGCATGGAGGCTGTCTCTGATATGGTCTTTGTTGCATGCCTTTCGATCACTTCATCCCTGTGTGGCTGCCTTGCCGGGACACTGTGAAAGAGGAGGTGCACAGTACTGATGAGACCAGATGTGCAGGGGCAGATTTATGGGGAGGGGCAGAGAGAGGGGATAGAGGGATGAGGGAGGGACCGGGAGGAGAAGAGGGAGGGGGCTACAATTGAGATGTAAAGTGAATAACTAAATTTAAAAAAATAAAAAATATTTCTGAAGCCCTAAAAAAAAATCTTTGCAATAGAAAATTTAAAAAGAATCTTATAAGAGAAAGATTGAAAACTGTCTGTGTGTAACCCAATGAAGGAAAAGGGTCTGAATATATGTAATATATTTCTTATCGGGGGTGATGGTGCAGACACATATATCAGCACACCAGCAAAGTAAAGGGTTTTCCTACTCTTTTATGGATGGCATGCGGGCTAACTTGGGATTTGTAGCTTCAGTAGAGAAAAGAATTTCAGGACTAGCCAGTGTAAAGAAGAACTAGTGACTTTATTAAAGAAATTTTAATCTAAACTTTAAGCTGGAGGGATAGAAGAAAGAACCACTGAGAAAGAGAAACATACCCTAATGTCACAGTGGGCTTCTCAAGAGAGAGTGTCAGAAAGTATGGGTCTGGGCTTCCCAAGGATGCATAGGGATTGTCAGGGTTAGTCAGACATACCATTTCCGTGGCTCTCAACTTACATCTTAAAATCTTGCTAAGAAACTTTCTTTTTCTCTCTTTTTACAAGAGAGTTATAGGCCGTACCCAGAGACACCAGGGATGGAATTGTGACTTAACACAGTAACAACCAGCAGCCCCTAGAGTCCCACAAGAGATTTAGCATGTTTCCTTTCTCTGTAGATTGCTTTCTGATGAGATTCTTAGAAAACTGCAGGTTTATAGATGGAAAGGGAAAAGGGCCTAAGGCAGTTATCATCTTATTAGGATTTCTATTGCTGTGAAGAGATGCCATGACCACAACAACTTTTATGAAGGATGTTAAAAAACATAAAAAGGAAACAAAAAGAAGTGTTTACTTGGGCTTCTGAATCTTGGATTTATGAATTTAGAGGAATAGAGTCCATGATGGTGGAGTAAGGGCTTGGTGGCCGGGATGCCTGAAAGCTTACATCTTGATCAGCAAGCAGGCAGCAGAGAGAGGGCACACTGTGGATGGCTTCTGAAACCTCCAGTGACACACTTCCCTCAACAATGGCACTCTTCCTCATCCTTCCTAAACAGCAACCAATTGGGGGACCAAGTATTCAAAAACCCAAGATTTATAGGGGACATTTCGGTACTGTACCTTTTCTTTATTTTCCTACTCCTCTTTTTATCTCTCCCCTTAATATCATTCTCTGACCCAGACTCTTCTGTTCTTTTAAGTCATAGGTCCTTTTGTCCTCATCTCTCTGTTCTCCAGAACTTTCTTGGTCTCCTTTAAGTTTAAACTTGACTCACATTTACAACCACTTACACACATATTACAAGCTAGGATCTGCAAGTGAGACAAAGCATGTAATTTTTATCTTCCTGAGTTTGCGTCACTTCACTTTCAAGATCTACCCATTTTCCCACAAATTTCATAAATTCATCTTTCTTTATAACTGAGTAAAATCCCATGCTATATATGCATATATATGTAGTATGTATAATATATGTAGTTTAGATAATATATATATATGTATATATACTATAGTAATAAAATATATAGCATTATTACTATATTACTATAGTATTACTACAGTATATATATGTATATATACTTCATTTTCTTTATCCATGAAAATCCATGTCTATCATCATCTACTAGTAGACATCTAGAATGGTTCCATTTCCTTCTTCTTGTCAATACTTAGAACAGCAATGAACATGGCTGAGTAAATACATTTGCAATGGAATACAGAATTCTCTGAGTATACACCTAGAAGCTGTACAGAAGAGGCACATGACGGTTCTATCTTTTAATTTTTGAGTGACTTCCATCCTGATTTCTATACTGGCTGTAGCGGTTCCTATCTCCCCATTGTATCACATTCTCGCTAGCATTCATTGTCTGTTTATTTGGTGACAGTCACTCCAAAAGGTTTCTTGACTGAGTTCTACTCTGCTGGTTTTGTTTCAATTCCCACAAGCCCTAAGCTGGCCGCATCTCAGTTCTTATGATGGTTTCTAGCCCATCAGTGTAACTCTCCCAAAATGTTCAAGTATGCCTGGTAGTAGGCTCTATCCTGAACAAGATGATGGAGGCACTCAAGGACTTGATTAATGAGGCCAGATGAGATTCCACCTTAATTGTGGACCTGCAGGGCACAGTCCCTTCTCAAGTATCTTTGCTTTACCTCACCCGGGGCTCTAAATTCAGCCAGGCTGTTGGCCGAGCTTCACCACCTAGAACAGAGTATTAAAATGTGCCAGCACAAAGGCCTCATTACATTAAGGGCCCAAAACATCACAGATACCTTGATGCTAGTATTTGAACCACCAACTCAAGAAAATGTTTCAGACTAAAATGCTGTTAATGGATTTAGATGTTGAACAATTTGGGATCCAGGAGCACAGCTCTGTAGTAAAGATGCTTTATGGTGACCTGCACACACATGCTGAAGCCTTGGTAACCCTGGAGATGCTGTTGTAATATTCTGTGCAAAGGATGGGGTAAAGTTTTCTAAAACTGAAGACACGAAGTTGTCACAAACAAGCAATGTTGATAAAGAGGTGGAAGTTATTACCATGGAGGTGAAGGAGACAGTTCAGCTATCTTTTGAATTGAGGTACCTGTCTGTGTTTTTGTTTTTGTTTTTTTTTTTAACAAAAGACAGTCCATCGTCTTGTACAGTAACAGTATGTCTGCTGATGTGATCCTTGTTGTCAAATACAAAGCGTAGCTGACATGGGATATTTAAGTTATGGTCTGTCTCTCAAGTTCAGTGATGAGTGATCTTTGGCATTGACAGACTCTGAGAAAATGGAGCTTCTGAGGTGGCAGCCTGCTCTGAAATCTTTTACATCTCCAAGCGTGACCTGAGCATAGGTGCAGGTATCATCTTAAGTAACCTATTTAATTTGCATACCTTGGTGTCTAGGGATGTGAGCATTTAAAAAAATACTTCTTGGATATTTGAGGGGTTTTTTTTTGTTTTGTTTTTTGTTTTGTTTTTTTCCTTTTAAAAGTGCCTGTTGGTTTGATCAATCCACTTGTTATTTTGGTTTTAACTATGTATAGTTAGATTAGTTAAGAATACACATACACACACACACATATACTTGCTAGAAAGTTTCCTTTTAGAATTTTGCTGACTCCCAGTGTTTTTGGATGTTGTATTTTAGTTTTTGTCTTAAGCTTTTTGTAAATTTCCACCTTGGTTTATCATCAGATCCATTGATTATTCAGGAATGTATCATTGAATTTCCTCATTACAGAGTTTCTAGTGGTTAGCACGGGGCTACATGTGGGTAGAAGCAGCTGTGTACACAGAGACAGGAGGTATGTGCAGACTGAACTCCTGCTCAGTTTTAATGTGAACCTAAAGCAGAAAAACAAAACAAAACAAAACAAGTTTCTACTTCATCCAAGCAATTGCCAAGGCTGAGAATTATTATTTCTGTAGAGTGTCACCCTTCAACCATGATTCTTGGATTCAGATGACATCACCAATTGATCATCACTCAGTGGGTGTCATGGGTGTCAGATCACAATCATTAATTAAAATCACCAAGGCATTTCAAAGATATTTGGGCTGATCAATACTGATCAATACAAACAATGCTCTTTGTGGTAGAGTTTCTTCAGGACTTCCCTACATACCAGGAGTTCAACAAACTCTTTGGATGATTCTAGTTAACAGAATAATGGCCAACATGTGTGTTTCAGAATTCTTGAAACACACATGTCAAATTCTCCAGTCTCCTACATGTGGCAAATGCCATGAGTCTTTCCCAGTACTCTTGTCCAATGGTTTAGCATCCTTTTCTATTCATTTTGCTTGCCAGGCTCTGGTCATAAACCAGGGCCACCACAGAGTCTACTTTGGTATCACTCTACCTCCAAATCAGTCCATCTTGTTAGATCTGACCCCCCTCCACACACACACACACACACACACACACACACACACACACACACACACCTCATTTCGGCCACCACCATCAGGACTTGACATTTTTATAGGACAGCTCTTCAAGGCATCCACGTTGGGAAAGCTGTTGGGGTTTCAGGGTGCTGCTATGAGTTCATTCGCATCATGCTTACAGTCTTCATACCTCAGGAACTTTCTGCAAACATTAACTCATTCGTTTGAAAATGTGTCATCTTATGAGGACTCATGAGCTAGTGCTTACAAAACTCTTAGTGTTCTCACGATGGAAGACATTGTGCCATACACACGGGTCACATTTAGAGGCTTCTGAGAACTGGGAGGAGTTGACTGCTTTTTAAAAATGGCTTTGCTATGACTTTCCAATCAGGCCAAGGGCCAGGCTAGGCCAGGCTGCTGATCTTTCAAAGAGGGGCAGGGAGTGGGACAAGCAGTGAGGAGGTGACACACGTATATCTCCAGCCTCTGTTTTCTCACGGCATCAAACTTCTCTTTCCTTGTTTGTCCACGGGAATGGGAATGTCTGGGTGAGATAATGTGTGTAAGGAGTGGACCAAAAGTTTACAATGCTATGCTAAGAAGCTGAGCACTGCCTCTGGCTGATTTTGAAACCCGTGTATGTGGTACATTTATACTGGAAAAAAAAAAAAAAAAGGAAAGTGTCAAAACTCTAGAAAATGTCTGAGCCAGAAACCTCGCACTGTGCTAACCAGACTCCACTGGGATCTGAAGCCTCATGTCCTCTTGGCCGAAGTTCAGCCAATGACCCCATCTTTGTGCTTTCTTTTGCCCTTTCTGCTTCCTTCTGCCACCCCTCCATGCCCAGGTCCAGCACTTCCGAGTCTGACCCAAGTTCTGCCTTGCACACCGACCCTCCAGGCCCAAGCCCAGCTGAGAAGCAGCTTCTGTGTTGTCTCTTGGTGCGTCTGTCACTCTCAGACATCAAATGACAGTAGTGCCTTTAGACTTCTGGGGCTCTAAAACTGAGAAAAATAAATTCCAATCATTTATGAATTAAACTGCCTGTAGTGTTTTGTTACAGCTGTAAA